GGTGATCTTCCAGAATTGTCTCCTTCACTTGACCGTGATGAATTGAAAAGCTTTGTTAATCATCTCAAGGATAAGTGCTATGTATTACAAACAGTTTCATATAACGAAGCCACAGCACGCGAGTTCATTTCAGTCTTCTTGACCTACGCTGTCAAACATATCAGAAAAAACAACGATCTGACAACTCGTTTAGCGGTAGAAATTGACATTGATGGAAGCCATGGATATGGTAATCTGGACTATGCGATATTTATACGATCCATTTTTGCTTTAGTGACTGTGGCTAAATTGTCAGAAATGGAGAAGGGTCTCGCACAAAATCTAGTACAGATCTTCAGCGCAGTTGAGGTAATATAATATTTCATTTTGCCTATAGGTCTAGATCCTTTTAATGGATAATAAAATCTTTTTCGAATATTCAGGGTATTCAGAAATTAGGTAAACGAAAACGCGAACAAACAGATTTTGACAAAGACCCGACAATATTCGGAATTGTAACAACTGGTGTCTTATTGCGTTTTGTCCGATGGACAGGTCCATTAGGATCTCAAAAAATCGAAATTACTAAAGAGTACAACTCTGGAATTGATGCTGTATTTGACACAAATGAAGATAAAGATATAGAAAATGTCGTAGAAATACTTTCTCATATCGCACGAGTATTACAAGCGCAAGCTAATGCAGTGAGAAACGATGCAAAACGTCAAAGAAATAATAATTAGTCGTTAATAATAATTATATTAACATTTTTAATAGGTCATCAATCTTTGCTCGAATTTTAAAGAGACTATATTTCTGCCTAAATAAATTAATATTTATTACTTTTTTATGACAATTGTATAACCATAGTAGGATTTGTAGTTACGAAATAGCTGAAATAATAATAAATTCCTTACGCATCTGACTAATGAAAAGATTTATTACATAATAGTACAAAAGTTTATTAATTATACATTTTTAGTCGCCTATCTACTTTTACCTGGATTAAGTATTTTATTGATTATATAAAATATTTCAATAAAATTTGTACAGTAAATCATAAACAAATAATCTTTTTAGATTACTAATACTTTATAATTTACTATACCCTCTTTTTAACGGTCACTTGGGCGAAACCATTTAGAAACATTTTCGCACAATGAATTTTCAGTTCGCCCATGTTTCCAGAATTATCCAAAACTTTAATTTGAAAACACTTTGTATATGTGGACAAACTAAACATAGTCTATTTCTAGTTATCGGGTATTTTTTTCATAAAAATATTTATTATTGACACTAATGAATAGAAAGGCAGAAAAAGGTAAAATTTTTGAAGCTAAAAATCATTTTCAACCCATCATTTCATTTTATGTTGTTTTATTGTAAATGACAAGAGAGAAAGAACAAAATCTCTGAATTGTATATATATAACACAAGAAGTTCATAATTTGGCCTTTTTCATTTTTTTTTAACAATCAAGTGTTTTATTATCAGAAAATATTTATGAACCTAGTTGATTAGTTACAAGAGGATTATTTTGCTCGGTTTCTGATAGTTTAAGTTTAATTATAATGCATTTAGGTTCGGTTGTATTTCCGAAAACCTGTTTTAAAATTTTTTAAAAAATCTGAACTAGTTTAATTTGATTGCATACAACAAATGGTTCTTTCGGGTACAAAGATTGGATTGAATTTAGTTGCAACCAGTTTATATCACTTATTCACCGGTTTTCATCGTTTTTGATACTTAAAAATATCAAAATCTGGCGATAATAAGTTTTCTAAATAATTCTTCAATGTTTCTATGCAGAATATAATTTTTTACATCATTATATTAATTTCTAAAAATTATTCAGCTTTAGTAATCAAACTCATTATTGTTAAATCCACAGCCGGTTTGATTCCACCCGCCTCTATTAATGTATTTTCATACTACCAATACAAAATCTGATTTTCCCGTTTTGATTTGTGACGTCAAATCTAACCTTAGTCGAAAGCATAGAGCAACGAGGTACGGAAGGAAGTCTTTAGTTCTTAATACAAATTGTTAAAAATTGAAATTTGAATTCATTAAACTCTAGTTTAAACACTAAATAAATTATCTTATATAATTGTTTATTTAAAAATTTTTTATGAGCTTGATTATTATAGAACAAATATGATATAATATTGTGCATTATCGTTCGGCCTGATCATAAAAAAGTTTAACAATAGTTTAATTTAATTAAATAATCAATTATTTAAATTTAAACTATTGTTAAACCTTTTTCTTAAAAGTTCAAATATAAATATCTTTGCATTAATTTTATTGTACATTATTATTATTAATTTGAAAAAGATAAAATTTGTCTAACAATTCAACGAGCTGAACATGTTAAATCACAGTAAATACTCGGATAAGGCCTTTCAGCATGATTTACAATTACCAGGCAGGCAAATATAAAAGTTTAATTATAAATTTAAAATACCGGCGTATCAAAATATTTATATTATTATATACAGTACATTATTAGAAATACCAACTCGCCACTATCAATTCAGAAGAACCTCGCATACAATTTCAAGAAGACTATTAAAACATGCTACAAGAAAATAATTGTTTAATAGAACTTAGTATTAATTTTAAATTTCAGTATAATCAATATTTATTCATAATATAAACTTTAATCAATATATAATAAAATATATCTAAAATTATAACACCTTATCATACGATAATATTATTTATTTTATTTTTAATAAAAAATATACTGTATCCATTAGACATGTACTGTACGTTTTAGTAAGTACTAAGTGATAATTCAATAACTTTTTAACTTTTTATTCGCATAAACTTAACAAAAATTCTTTTTTTAATAAATTAATTATTATCGCATCAATGAAGATCGATCCAATTTAACAACGCACATGAACAATTTTGTGAACTTTAAAATACGAATTGTTGGACAAGCATTTTGAAACTCGCAAATTATGTCTTACACGATTCTCGCAATACAATATGAATTATGAATCGAAGGAATTGTTAAATTGGCAAATACCATTAGGTAAATTAATATTTGCGTATTGAGGAATTGTCACTTCGGTAATTACTCTCTATTTGATATTGATAAGTCAAACGAGTTATAAAGAATTGTGTTTTTTTATTGATAATGCAGCGTTCTAATTCAATTTCGAATCATTAATGTGTTGTTTCAAAACAAATTCACTTTTTTTAAACATCCTTTAAAATTGCAATTTAAACCTTTTTTTTTACACTTTATGTAACATACCAATTCATTGCGATGATGATCATTTATATGCAATAATCGTATCTAAGGGCCGGTGTTATATTTTTGTGAACGCTTCTATGGTCAATTTCAAAATTTTTCATTGGAACTTTACATTATTTAAGAAATATTAATTATTGAAACGTAAATGTCAAATGTGCATTCCAATTTGGAATATTCGAAATGATCATTTCGGATATTAACACCACCAAAACGTTCCACCATTTTTTGTTGCACCAACCAAATTTTGAATAGGCCTATTTCAAGAGGTACAGTAAATGCGGAAACTATTCTTATGATGTTTATATATAGGGCAGTTTTTTGAATACCAAAACAATCATGAATCAACTTAAAAGTGACACATCAGATCAGCAAATGTTGACCTTCAAAATAAATCCTAAATATAAGAGAAATTTATAGAGTGTAAAAAAAGAAGAAAACCATTTAAAAAAAATCATAAGCTTTGTCTTGTTATAAAGCAAATACTATAAACTTTAATTCAAGCGGAAACAAATTTATTGACGATTTTATTAAATTTACTCATATTACTTTTGATCGTAACGATAGAAGTAGAATGGAGTTTGTTTCATATGATCAATTCCAAATATAGAATATATTGGAGAAGGAGTATTTAGTAAAGTTTATAAAGCTATTTGGATTGATGGTCCAATTAAATGGTGGAACATTATGAGCAAAAATAAAATCGAAATTCAAATAAAAGTAGCTCTTAAGAAACTTGATAATTCAAAAAACTTTACCCCTAAGGAATTAAACGAGGTATATATATATAGATATTCTTTTTTATTTATTTATTATAATATATACTAAGTTAATAATAAACTTTTTTTTTAGCTTAAAACATCTTATCAATTAAGAGGTTAAGAGGTGTTGAGCATGATGGAATTACGCAAGATCCTATTACTAAAGAATTTGTGATAATTATGAATTATTGTAATAAAGGAGATCTTTCCCATTATATAGCTAAAGGTTTTTTAAATATTCGTTGGTCAACAAAGTTACTCCATTTAAATTTTATTGCATCTGGCCTATCAGAAAGAGTATTATCCACCGTGATTTTCATAGTGGAAATATTTTGATAAATAATGATGTATATTCTTTCAATCCCACTAATATGTGATTTGGGATTAAGTAATTCTGCTACCGAAACTAATGATAATGAAACCTATGGAATTATTCCTTATATGGCCCCAGAGGTTCTTAAAGGGCAAAAGTATACCATGGCAACAGATATTTATAGTTTTGGTATGATCATGTGGGAGTATATGACAGGTAGAAGACCTTTTTGGGTTCGTGCTCATGATATTGAGCTGATTATTGATACATGTGATGGTTTACGTCCTCCAATAGTTGATATAGTAGCAATTGAAGGTTATATTGAGATAATGAAAGAATGCTGGAACCCTGATCCAAGTAAAAGGCCAACAGCTAAGATCATTCAGAGTAAGCTTTCTAGAATTATAATAATTGATAATCGTAATACAACAGATATTGTAGAATCATCAGAAATTGGACCTATGACAACAAAAAATCCAGGCGCTATTTATAAGAGTAGATCTTTAAGTAGCATGATAAAATCCACAGATTCTACAAGAACTTTACGAAATCAATCCATTTCTTCAGATTTTGGTAAATATATGTTTTTAAAGATCTTCAAATTTTTATTTTAAAAAAAAAAAAAAAAAATTTAACGGTACTTGTATATATACTATTCGTTATTATCATTAATATTACTTTTTTCGTTTTCTAAAAAAAAGAACAAGGCAAGCGATATTTTGAAAGTGATAAATTAAAAATAGATAACGGTATGATATAAGTTTAATTTATTTATTAGTTTCAAAGAATCAAAATTAATCTATTAAATGATTTGATAGATAAAAGCAATAAAAAAATGAAATTATTGAAAGATGAATCTTATATGTCGAAAGAATTGGAATTTGATATATAATTTTGATTATATAATTAAATGTAATGTAGTATAGCAATCAATCTAATCAGTACACAAATTCTAACTATTTAATGAAATGATTAAGTTTTCTTAATCATCTACAATATAGTTATATAATATACAAGCTTATCATGGTAAAATTCTTAAATAAACATGATTTTCGGATATTCCTTTTAATATACCGGAACTTTTACAGTAATTTTTGATTGAAAAATACAAGCCTACTTGTTTTTTAAGGAAAAAAAAAAGATAAAAAATCTAATTTTTTCTATAAAGTATCAGGAGTTATGTTAATCGCCGTATATTATATAACAAATCAAGTATCCTTTATCACATTTCAAAAAAAAAAAATATTGCAGAAGAAATCTCAAGGTTCGTTAGAAAAAAGGAGTTCTGTTACTATATAATATATAGTCTCAAAACCCTTTTTCCTAACAAAACAATATGGTAGTATCCTACATATCAAACCTTTAATATAAACTATAATAATGACCAAAAGTATTAAATGGTTATTTTTTTTAGTACAAGTTTCAAGAGAAAGTATGTGAAATAACTCAATTAACTCGCTTTAATTACATTTAAATTATAATTCAATTCCAATGTAATTTAAAAATAGATTACTAAAAAGATTTTATTTATCAGATTAAAACACGTGGTTCCCTAATAAAGAAAACTCGTAATTTACGATAAATGTTCTCAAAATACATATACTTTGATATTATTACTGCATCGCAAGTTAAGAATCTTGTAAATCAAAATCCAAATTTTTGTTTTGTTACGATATTCAATAATTTACATAAAAATTTAAAAATTATTTTGTAAAGTCAAATCTCATGAATGGAAAATGGGGTGTGTTTGGTGGAATGCTATGACTATATATAGATTTCAAATATAAATTTTTTTTTTCAAGTATAATAGTTTTTCTCTAATTATACTAAAATCGTTGACTTTAACAATAAAATGTATTTGTATTTTGTTTTCTTAATTATCATTACTTTTAAGCGCTATTTTCTGTTAGCATGGCTATAATATATATTATTTTAATTGATTAGGTAATATCATTTTGTTTTCAACAAGCAAATCTTGAAATAATACAATAATCTGGTATAATGCCTTTTTATAAATATTTAAATTAAATTATAAGTATTTATTTGCAATCACATCAAATTCGATGAAATCTTTACATATTACCTTTTATTTTTTATTTGGGTCCGATATGGATCTATATATACCAAAGTAAGTTTTGGAATAATGAACGTAAATATAGTATATTAGATGGTGAATATAAAATTGATAATGAATACCGAGAAAGTTCCAATATACATATACATTATTTTATTTTTTTTTTGAAAGATAAAGTAATACCATAATATTTATAGAAAATTTAAACTATATTTGATATCAAAGAAAGAGTGGATGGATAGATGTTTATTTGAAAATGATATATTAATTATATAAGACAAAACAAACAAGGTTCTTAAAATACTTATTTTTCTTGGAAATTGTTGCATATAATTCAGGTTAATTTTGATAGTTTGTATAAACTACCATTCGTTTACTAATAAAAGCGAGCCAAAATATTTTAAAACTATGTAACATATTTTTTAGAAACCTATTGCGTATTTAAAAAAATAATCCATTGTTTAAGCTCAAAAGTTTATTAACAATGCAAGTATGAAGAATGTCGTAGCAAAGCCATGGGAAGGAAATTTTTGTATAAAAATACATATAATTGATCGCGGTGATCCAATTTTGGAGCAGTCAAAACTCGAAGGTGAATATTATTTTCGAACTCAGTGCCGATCATTTTTTTGTTTTTTTTATTAAAACATTCTTTAACAATCTTAACAGATTTTATGTTATCAAGCATTTCATAAATTTCTAAATTTTAAATAATGACAAATAATAAATGCAAAGCTAACAAAGTTTAGTATTAATTAATTCTTCAGTATATTTCCATCATATTTCAGCTTGTTTTCCATCTTTAGGTGCCGCAGATTTCTTTCCAATTTAAATATTGATTACGGTAATCTGTTCAACAATTTCAGGGTTTGTCGAAAGATCATTAATTAATATTAATCAAAAATATAAAAATCGAGACTTATTCCGTATAATTATTTCCAAATAAGAAATGAAAGTTTATAATCAAAAAGCACATCGTCGCTTGGAAAGAAAGGTACCGTAAACGGTGGACTATAGTATCCCCTAGTGTATAGTACAATACCCATAACTTTGATGTAAACTACCAATTTTTTTTAATTAATTTGTATGGTATTCAGGGGTAATATACTATAAGGGGTTATAATTTTCGAACCAGAATAATCTATTTTGATGACTCTTGACTTTGTAAATATCAACTAATAATAGTTAAACTGTAGAGTGACGTGACGTAAATTTCATAAAAGGGTTTTGGCTTAATATTTTAGCATGTTATTAATACAAAAAAATCCGTTAAAATATAATGTAGAAAGTACAATTGCAGCCGAAGGTAAATTAAATATCAATCAAATAAAGAAATAAAAATTTTGTAGCTAAGACGCAATACTTATAATTTAAAATTTTCTAAATTTGAAATTTTTTTTTCTTAACTATAAGGTGGAAATTTGCTTAATTTTGTATGCATCATGCCATACCGCCTCTTAATCATTAATACTTGCATAATAAAAAAAAAAATACAATAATTATGTTATCGTAACATGTGCCTCAAATACTGCGGTAAGATCTTCATATCTTGCACAATATGTATCACCACACCATTATCATTATACTGTACGTTTTTGGGTTAAAAAAAAAATTTTTTTTATTTTTAAAAAAAAGCTTTCTTTTAAAAATAGTAACAATGTCTGCAATGTCTGCTAGTGACAATAAAGGTAAAAGTTTAATAGAAATGGAAATAAAACTTAGCACGCCTGAAATGAATATATTTGACGGTTACATGATTTCTAAAAAAAAAATTTATTTCACAAATTCACAGAGTCATTATCGGATGTTATGGAAGTATCCTCATTAGAAAAAATAGAAGGTAACGGTAATTCCATATATTATTAACCACATTTAAATATGATAATAATTCATTACTCATTTTTATTTACTATTTTATCAAATAAATATAGAATCAGCTTCATGTGATGAAGGTAAACATAAATAATTAACCAATACTATGAAAATTGTAGCGTTAAACTAACCTTTGATGATGAAATTAAATATAATAACTATAATACTGCAATTCGTTAATTAAATTTTTATTTAATTTAAAATTTAAAATATAGGATTAGTTTCAAGTGATAATGAAGGTAAATAAAATAACAATTATATGTATTTAATAAATAAATATTTTTAACTATATTCAATTTTTGTTCAAAATATTAGAAGGATTGGATGGTAAAAAATAATCCTTCTATTGTTAGTCAAAAAATAATATTTAATTTTTAAAATTTAATTTAAATTTCATTTATACATAGAATGTAAGATATTTAACTTTTGTATATCTTAATACAATTAAATTGTAATTAAACTTTTTAATAAACTAGAAGTTGCGATATGCAGGGGACTTCGTTTTCCATTAAGCGTTAGATTAAATATCTTATATTCATATAAATAAATTTATATTATAATCAATAATATACGTATCTATATCTACATAAATATTTTGTTGTATTTGTAAAGTTATTTAATAAATTTTAAATAGGAGTGTATTTTATAAACATTTTATTAGATTAAAATTTTTATTAAAAAAAATTATTTAAATATATACTATATTTATAAAGGTAAA